CATGTCTCCACTGACAGTGCTCATTGTCTTACAAGTCTGGTCAGCTAAATTTTATCAAACAAAAGCAAAAACAACCACACAATGGTCGTATTAAAACAAAAATCAACCCAAGGAACTTCTGAACTAAATCACTCTTGGACTTCTGCCATACAAATTTAACGACTATTTAATTTTATACCCATTCTGTACTGAATATTATTCTTCGTGCTCTCCAGGGAAACTTTTGCTTCTCAACTCCTAAAGTTTTCTCATCTTCCTTCTGACATCCAGGTTGTAGGCGTGAATCTGCCATTTTTTCCTATGTGGCCTAGGATGAGCCACAAAATGTCTCTCAATGTTGCTTTCTTTCTCAGTAAAATGGGCATACTGATAGAAATGACAGAGTCAGTGACATGCCAAACATTCCCAAAGTAGGGCGTTTTTTTCTTTTTTTTGAGACAGGGTTTTGCTGAGTTGCCGGGGCTAGAGTGCAGCGGCACCATTATAGCTCACTGCAACCTCAAAGTCCTAGGTTCGAGTGATCGTCCTGCCTTAGCCTCCCGAGTAGCTGGGACTACAGGCATACACAACCAGACTCGGCTAATTTTTTTTTTTTAATTTTTTTGTGGAGACAGGATCTTGCTATTGCCTAGGTTGTTCTGGAACTCCTGGCCTCAAGCAATTCTCCCTCCTTGGCCTCCCAAAGTGCTAGGATTACAGCATTTGGACAGGTGAATCTGACAGCAATTTTAAAATAGTTGTTTTTAATTCAAGGCACATTTTGATGTGCTTGTTTAAATTGGTTTAGAAGTACTTGTTTATAAAAATATGAAAGCATGCAATATTTTCCAAATGTAATGAATGTCTTGTTAGGTAAAACTTTAGCAAGAGAAATTTAAATTTGAAAGTAAGGATGTGCTTTTCTTCCAATTTGGAAACCACATATTCACTTTTTAGCAGATCTTTGTACTGGAAGACTTACTTGAGTATTTTCTCTTAGATGTGTCAATGAAAGCCCTTAGGCACATGGGCGAGGAAGGTATCACAGGATTTAATTTGAGGGAGGCCTTATCTAAATGATGTCTTTGGTACATAGAAATGGTCTCTGGGAAGATGGTAAACCAGTTGCTTAGCACTCAAGGAGTCTCTCCTGAGTGAAGGAGTGGAGATGCTCTGCTTCTGCAGGGAACCTGGAGCCTCCAGAGAGAAGCTTCCTCCAGGGGAGTCTGCTGCTGTGGACTACGCAGAGCTACAAAGGACCTCTCACCACGAGAGGAGAAACAAATCAGGGTGAGGGATCGATAAAGGGCCTCTCTAGTTTGTTCTGGGGAGGGAATGACTCTTACGGTAGCTGTAATTTACTTTAAAAATGCTTCAGAATAAACAATGTGATAGGTGCATATTTTGGTTTAAGTTAAACTCCAGGTTCAGCTAGGGTTATAGTTTAGCAGCCAAGGTGGCTAACTTTGGTTTTTAATCAGAAAGTTCACACAACATTAATTCTGTTATCTGCAGTTCTATCAACATCATAAGACTTACTAATTAACCCACTGAAAATTGAGGAAATTAATGGTGTTCATCAGGATATAAGGATTGGCTGAGATATCTTAGAAAGACTGTTGACTCCTGCATAATCAGTGTGTAAGAATACAGCTCCCTTAGGGACTGGGCTCAAAGCTTTACTCCTGAACGGTCTGGCATCTAGCCATTGTGACTGGATTTCTATTACAGTTGCCTGATGCTTACTGACAGGGCTAACTGGACCCTACCTCTGGAATGTTTTCATCTGCCTCTAGGGAATTTCATGCATGGTGGTGGACAGAGAACCTCAAGGAAAGAAAACTGGGAATACAGGAAGAGAGAAATGGGAGAGGGTTGAGATCACTGTTAGCCTATACTAGTTTCAGCACAGCATTGATTATGACGATTGATCATGGAATTGAATCTAGGTGAGGAGAGGAAAAAAGCCCTCAGGTGACTGGGGACAATGAAAAGCTAGTAGGATCAGCAAATGATAGATTCCAGTGTGATTAAAAGACTGCTAAGAGTTGGAATTATTAGAAAAAATTAGATAGAAAATAAGTAGCAGCACTCTGAAAGTTGAATGTTAGAAACTGAAAATTTGGAGTGGAAAACTATTCATAGTTCAAGGTTAAGGATATGACCATGAGAATGGCTGGCTAATGTAAGACATTGAAAGGATCATCTAGGTAGGATTGTTGAAATCATGAAGAATTACAGTTGAATCAGGGTTGGCGAGAGTCATAGTATATCAGGAACTAAAATCTTCAAGGAATGCAGAAGAGTGACCCAGAGAAGGGTAACTGACTATACTCATAAAACAAAACTCCCAAATCTGCATGATTTTGGTCATTTATCCATATAAGCAATATTTTTGTAATATAGGGACCTACAGATGTCTAGCTTACTTTTTTAAATGTAAAACTAGCTTAGTTTAGTGCATATAGATTAGCAGCTTATAACTTACTCCATAAAAAAGGTTTCATATAATTTTTTTCCTGAAAACTATTGTTATATACCTAGAGAAATAATGGTAATATCTTTATAGGGCACAGGAAAGAAAAGAATAGAGGTAATTACTTTGCAATTTGGGTATCTAATAGTTCTTTTGAAAAATTCTGCTTGAAACTATTCAGTCTATATACCTATATACACCATAAAATTGCATAAATTAAAAAATATCTTACTGCTTAAGATACGTAACCCTAATAGCTAAAGCATCCAAAGTTATTAATTCATTTATTCATCCATTCAGTCATTCAACATGTGGTGATCGCCTCCTGAGCCAGGTACTCGGAGAAGGGTGGCCTTTGCACCATCATTGGCCACGTCTGTATCTGCCCTTGATTACTCTTGGTCAGTTTGTTTGTCTTTAATTACTAATCAGAACCTTTGTACTTCTCAGCAAGGTGGAGATTTATTATTATCTTATAATTAAAACAATTCATTCAGAGAATATGTAATAACAGTCAAATCAATAGAAACCACCATAATAGAAATAAACTGACAGCAGATTGAAAATTAAAATATTAATAGCACATTTAATCAAAAAAACCAAGGATCCTCTCCTCTTAAAATTATAATTAGCTTTTGCCAAGCATGGAATCAAAAAGTATGATTTTAATCTATTCACTGGGCATAAATCTCATCCCTGAACTGAATTAATTTTCTATCCTGTAATTTCCTTTTTTATTCTCTAGAGAAAAAAATTGCATATATATCTGTAATACTTTAAACATGTCCTATACTACTTTTAAATGGACTATTTATTACAGCTCACTAGTTAACTAGTTAGCTATATTCTAAGTGAACTACCACATTACAATAACTGTAGAATGTGTATTCCTCCTTCTGGAACAAGAGGTTCTTATGCAAATTGAGGGTAGATTTTCCAGGTGCTGTAACAGATTCTTTTTTTTTTCTTTTTTTTGAGACAGAGTCTCACTCTTTTGCCCGGGCTAGAGTGCCGTGGCGTCAGCCTAGCTCACAGCAACCTCAAACTCCTGGGCTCAAGCGATCCTTCTGCCTCAGTCTCCCAAGCAGCTGGGACTACAGGCATGCGCCACCATGCCCAGCTAATTTTTTCTATATATTTTTAGTTGTCCGATTAATTTCTTTCTAATTTTTAGTAGAGACGGGGTCTCGCTCTTGCTCAGGCTGGTCTCGAACTCCTGAGCTCAAACGATCAGCCCGCCTCGGCCTCCCAGAGTGCTAGGATTACAGGCGTAAGCCACCGCACCTGGCCCTGTAACAGATTCTTTATATACCTGATCTCTAATCTTTAGTGAGTTATTTTCCAAAACATTTTATAGATAGGGAAAAGTGAATTTTAATGAAGTTATAAAGGTCACAAAGTAAGCAAGTGTCTGCTGGAGCCTCTAGGACAGATATGTCAGATGAAGTTTGCTGCTACGGAGTTCAAGCTCTGTGTCTTTTCCACTCTGCCACATGAAAGTGATAATTATACTGCCAATAATTCTAATAGCTAATATTTATTAACTAATTAAAAACTAACAGGCATGTGCCAAGGCAGTACATATTTTTAAATCTTTAATAATCTTGTTGATTAAGACACAGAGGTTTGCAGAAGGAAAATAATTTGCCTAAGATCTTACCCAAAATAGGCAACTTTACTGGGACTCACATCTAGGCTCTTTCTTCTGAATTTTGAACTCAAACGATAAACTGAGATGATTAACCTTGATAATATGCTTTGCTACAGCATCAAGGTATGAAGGTGGAGTGGAGAGGCGTGGACGATGATAATGCTGAAGGTGTGTCATTTACTTTCATAATCTGGTAGCTCACGTATTTGCTTTAGGCTTCTGCAAACTCATAAAAGTAAAAACGATCTTTCTGACATTAAATTTTCAGACAATTTTAGGGAAAATCATTCCAAGTGATGTAGATGTCTTGATATATGGATGATTTTTGTCCTTACTTATAACATGGACCTTTCTCTGGTCATGATTGCTCCCTCTTACCCAGAGAGGCTCAGAAAGGGGATTCTTATCTCGGTGCATTTCATTAATGAAAGACAGGAAAATAGTGAGGATAAGGTTATGACTTTGCTTCTAACATGGATGCGTCACCTAATTACAGACTTGCAGTCTTTGAGTTCTAGCTGTCCAATGTGCAATGCCTGCCTTGGGTCACTTCCAGGCATAAAACAAAGTCAGCACGTGGAGAGCCTCTCACAGATCACGACTGCTACTACACATGGCATTTCAGAATTTGTTATTGTGAAACTATCTGAGAAAACAGATATATCATTCTATTTAAGAAAAAGGATTATCAATCTGGTGTTAAATATTTAACTCTATGCAACGCCAGTCATATACAAAGTGCTAAATAAGTATTTGTGTTGAGATCAAATGAATAAATGAAAGAACATAAAGTCAGCATAAGTGTCTCATGTTCATTCCTCACGCACAGTCAATGTCGAATACTCCAAGTTTGGCACGAAGGAGACGACGGGGCTGCGTTGCTCAGACACTTACCTGAAAAGCGTCTGCACGTTCACGATGGTTTTAGCATCCGCCATGTAGTCCTCCTCGGCACTCATGGTGCTCTCTTTGTCCACAACCACCATGTTGGCGGCGAAGGTCACTCCACACTTAAGTAGGTCATCTAGGCTTTGATAAAAATCAACAGAGAAAAACGGACTTTAAATAAATCACAGTGTTGGAACCGGTATTAAAGCTCGCTCATCCCCTGTGCTTATGTAAGTTGCCCTTACAGGTGGCATTTACAGAGTGTTTACAGGTAGATATTAATGGGAATTATGGTACAATATTATCTACCAATATGACATAATTTTTATTTTGGACTCTTTACATTTCATTAAATCTCAGCTGTTTCGAAGCATATGTGTTAATATTTATTTAATGATATTTATAAATTATATAAATGAAACATGGAAACCACCCATTTTTCAATAAAATAGAAATAGAGCATATTAGAACTTTGTTTTTGCAGTTAACATACTGTTTCAAAGACATGTTTGCATTTTTAATTTCTAAGATGCTTTTGGTAAGAGTAGAAGTAAATAATTGCTATATTAATTTAGATGGTCAAGCTTAATGAAGAAACATGAAAACTATGACATTTTTTTAGATGTCTATTATTTCTTTGTATAAAAGCTATGTGTTATAGATTGGTTGTACACAGCCAAGAGCATATGAAATATATAAATATCTCTTGTATGCAAGCCTACGGTTTAGTCAGACTAAATTTTTGAGCAGTTAGATAACCTCATTTCTTTGGCTGCAAGTAATTGCTAAGTCAGGATGCAAATACCTGTGAGCTATAATAGAGTCAGTCTTCTTCCCCATCACTGATAAAAACCTTACCTAGCATTCTCCCAATGAATTAAAAGAAAGTTTACCATTAAAACTCAAACAGGGAACTATTATTCTCATTGTCTCTGCTTCATACAAACTAGAAAAATAGAACAGAGTTGGATAAGGGAGACTAAACCTGAATGGGTACAAGAATGTTCTAGGTACAGAGCTGACTGAAGAACGATAAGAAGAGATAGGCTAATTTCCGTATCTTCTGATTCAAAATAAAATGTTGAAAATTTAAAAAATGGCAGTTTCTTTTAGATTCCTATATTGGAGAGACAAGTCCCTGAGGATCTTTTCCATGTGCATGATTGGCCGAGTTAGCCACGTCACGTTAGAGGGAATTATTTTCCTTTTATGGGAAAGTGGGAGGCAGGATTTCTTACTCTGTTATTAGTCGAGAGAGTATTACCAAAGCCTTGAGTCCAAGATCCCCAGGAGTAGTCCAGAAAAAATATTGCGCTTGAATCAGGAGCAATGTTCTGTGGCAGAGATTTTATGGCTAAAACTGTGGAAACAGAATGTTATTCCAAATAAATTTCCTATGATAAGAGGGGCCAGGACCATAACATCCAACCAATATGATGACCTTCAAATTTGAATACCCAGGGATACTTGGGTCTTTCTTTTATCTAGGAAATTTATTATAATTGTTCTTAATTTATTAAAATGCACTTAAAAAAGGAAAGAATTAGATGGAAAATGAATGTTATATGGTCCCTTATGGACCACCAAAATGATGCCTAAGACATATGTCTTCAAACCACCTTATTATAATTTTAAATCATTTTCTCACATTTCAGCTCTCACGATCTTTTTTTCCTCCATTAAAAATATCTCTATTACAACTATCTAGATAGGAAAAGGAAAATATAAAGCAGTAGCGGGTAAGATTGACTAGATAGGGACAAATGGATAGAAATTAAGAGAGGAAAGATGAATATTTTAATCAATAATAATTTAATGAAGCTGAAGTTAATAGTTGACAAAAATTTCACTTTGAGAGTACCTACGCTAAATGGCTAACCACTACCTACACCCATGTGTATCAGTTAATTCTATCCTAAAAATATTGGCTGTTATAGTTTACACATAAGCTTGACAAATGACTTTAGTAACTACCATTAAATATGACTTTATAGAAAATACATAAAATTGGGATATTTCTGAAATATGTAGAAAGGTTTTTATTCTTCGTGTTTTAATGTTAAATTATTCTTTTTCTATTTATTAAATGTTGCATTTAATCCTTTTTCCTTTTGTTTTAATAAACTATCAACTTATAACTACTGTCTGTAGTAATTTCTCCCCATTGATTCTATTTGCAAGGCCTTCGCCTTATTTTTTCTTCAGTGTGGCTGCTTTACAGAGTTTGGCCACCAGATGAAGGCACAAGAACGTCAATCTGGGGGCCGAGCGTGGTGGCTCACACCTGTAATCCTAGCACTCTGGGAGGCCGAGCCAGGGGTGGATCACTCAAGGTCAGGAGTTCCAGACAAGCCTGAGCAAGAGCGAGACCCCCGTCTCTACTAAAAATAGAAAGAAATTAGCTGGACAACTAAAAATATATAGAAAAAATTAGCTGGGCACGGTGGCGTGTGCCTATAGTCCCAGCTACTCGGGAGGCTGAGGCAGAAGGATTGCTAGAGCCCAGGAGTTTGAGGTTGCTGTGAGCTAGGCTGACGCCACGGCACTCTACCCCGGGCAACACAGTGAGACTTTGTCTCAAAAAAAAAAAGGCAATCTGTATGAAAAAAAAAAAAGGTACAAATAACTTAATTGGAGATGCCTCCCTTTCCACCTGTCTTCTCTAAGACTCCTTTTTCTAAGGACTAGAATGTGAAATGTACAAGTGTCAGGGAGTGTCCCTGACTGTGTTTTAAGTCATTCAAAGAGGCTTTTTTTTTTTAAAGGAAAATTTCAAACATAAGCAAAGGAGGAAAATTGTATCATTAACCTCGATGGACCCACCACCCAACTTCAATAATTATTAATATGTAGCCAATCCTGTTTCGTCTCTGTACCTAGGAATTTGATGATGCTCTCAGTTCTTTTTTTTCCCCACCACAAATAGTTTTATAAAGGAAAAATTCACTTCATAGTTTATATCAGAAAGGGCAGATGGGAGGTTTATTCTTTATCTTTTAAATACACTATTTTTCTTATGAATTTTAATAGAACGCTATCATTTCAAATTAACATTACTAGTTATAAAATATATTTAGGATATAAATGGTACTTTTAGTATATCTAACTCTAGTTTTAGTTGGTTAGTATTATAAATGATAATGTAAATTATATTAATGTAGAATGGAGGGTAAATATAGTTTAGTCTGTTTGATCTTTAATGTATCCACCACTAATAAACAATTTCAAAGTTATAAAACTTTGTTTTTTCAACATCTGCAGGATGAAATGTAAGCATTAAAGTTCTTGACTGGTAAATTTTAACATTTTATTTTGAAGGCTCTGGCTGACTTTTTTAAAGATGGAAAAGTAACATTCTGTATTATTTCAAGTGTATTGGTTTTCTGATCTTTTATTTTAATATATTTTATAGACTGTTACCATGACGCATATGTAAAAATTTGTATTTAATTACTAATGTATTACATACATGTGACCTTTTAAATGAACAAATATTTTAGAAATTACAACTCTGATGTGTGACTAGAATAAAATAAGCTCCTAATAAGTTGAACTCATAAATCTAAGTTAAAATGAGCATTTCTAAATTATTTTGAAGTTTTCCAGAAGTTATGGTAATGATACCAATGCATCACAACATTGAATCTTTAGGTTTTCTCTACTACTATATCAATAGTAATAATGTTATTTTTATAGATGACACAAAACTAAAATAGCATTAGAAACTGAGCAAAACTGACAAAATTGACATGCAGCAAGATTTGTTTTAATGCAACAATAGATTACTGCTTAGGAAGTTTAACACATGATGTATAACACGAGAACATAAGCTCTACATGCAAAAATCTATCATATTTGCAATACTGACACCGCAAATGACACTCATCATGCAGTAACAAGGCTCAACACAGGACAACCACAGGACACTACACTAGTTAGTATGCCAAAGATTTTGTCACCTACTTGTCAATAGAGCCCACCATGTAGTAAACCATGGGAAACCAACAGATTGCATCCAGAAAATGCATATCTGGCCTAAGTAGTAGATGGGTTACAAAATGAAACACAATGTCACAACAGTGGCAGCACTTCTAGGGAAAGGAAGTAAGTTGACTTAGTTTGCATTTCCAAAACTAAACACTGCTGACAAGATTAATTTTAAGTGCCTTTTTTCTTAACATTATTTAGAAAATGTTATTTGCACTTGTTATAAATCATAAAATGCCCTCAGAATTATAAAAACAAGTTGTATTTCAGCTTTCTAAATCAGAAACATTATGGCATCATTCTACAAAAATACTGAAGTGATATTCTTAATTTTGACTAAAAAAAATCTTACCAATGAATTTACAAGTTATCCATGCAGAGGAGGCCTTGTAAAATGAAGAACTAATGATTTTTTTCTTAGATGATTTAAGGCATTGGGTACTAATGCCTACTAAGACTAACTTTCTCTAAGGGATATATATAATCACAACACGCCCCACAATATATCAACATATCAAAAAATATAGTACATATGCCCATGCAAAATATGTATGATATAAAATTACAATGACAGTAATTCACCTTTTAGTTTATGGATTCACTCAATACATATTGTTGAGCAAACATTTATTATGACTGAAATCTTTACTTATATGCGTATTCAACGAAAGAACCATAAACCTGAAAGCTTCCATAGAAATTGCTTAATCTATTGTATTCATTTTATAAAGTTATTAATTCATTCATGCCTCTATTCACTCAGCATATATGTATCCAAAATTTTTTAATAGACATTTTAATATACTCAGGCATATACAAATAAAAGAATATCCTGTTAACATAATACAGAGTTTTTTTTAAATTCATGTACAAAAGCACATAATTATATATTTTCATCTGAAAAAACAAATAATATGTTGCACTCAGCAGGCAGAATTGGGGGACATTTCATGTGGGTGACATTTAATTTGGGTGTGGAATGAGTAGGAGTTTGCCCAGTACAAGAGAAGGAAAAAGAAATTCCAGGCCAAGGGAATTACAGCACCCACATTTTCCCAGATGCTCATGGCCCAGCTAGATCAACTTTTTTCTTCCCTATTTCCTCACTGTTGGCCATCCGCCTATCTCTTTACACTCTGAAGAAAGAGAATGATCAATACAGCAAAGCATTAGAGAAAAAAAACCTTCTAACGAATACCACTGTTATCACTTTGACTAAACTCCTATCATTAAATTTCTTTGTAGTCATTTAAATGGCCCAATATTATTACATCTTATAAATGTACCACAATTCATCTTTAAAATCCTCAATATTTAGTTTATTAGTTATTTTCAGTTTTTGCTGTTAATTACTGAAGTTATCAGGTGTTTCCAGTATCTTTCTATTATATTTAACACTGGTAGGCACATCTTCAGAAGACTTTTTTTTAGGTGTTTTTATCATTACCACAAAACATTCATAGAAGGGATAAAAGTAAATAGCGGTCTACAAACAGTTTTTAAGCTCCTAATACATATTTTCAACAAATATTATAACCATATACACTCCCAGTAGCAGTCCTGACAGTGACTTATGGCAGAAATTTCTAGTTCTCTTCCTAGGCACTGTACTGATTCTTAAAATTGGGAGGCCCATTCTAATTGCCGATGCAAAACCCTCCTTGGCTCTCCCACCTGCCTGGTGACTGGAGAAGCCCACATGAAGAGCAATGCCACCAGAGCGGGAGAGCACTGAGATTCTGTGGTGATCTGGAAAATCCTTCTGCCTGTGTCTTTTTTGGTTATTGTTTTTATTTAAATCTCTTTGCTCCTAAATATAATTCCAATCAGATAAAATATACATGTTGATAACTTATGTGGCAGAGTTGGGTCCATAATTCATTATTAATTGCAGACACACACCTGGAATAAACTCCAGATATATGCCTGAGATAATCTCCTTTTTAGTTTGGCTCATGCCATTCTTTTAGGTTCAGATTGTTTCCATTTCTTTATGCGATCTTCTCTGACCATCACTCCGCTGTGACAGTTCTGCAACAGTATTTAACATTACCAAATCAATAAATTCAATAAAGATATTGAAACTTTTCCAGCAAATACTGAGGTCTTTGGGGACAAAGCAAGTCTTTATGCCAACCCTTCTGCTAGAATCAAAAGAGAAGATAAGGCCTTTGTGTTTTGTTGCTTTGTCTAGTAGAGATTACAAAAGGTAATTCGCCATCAACATTTTTGCCTTGCTTTAGGAAACTCATGAATTTTTAGTCACATGCAATTCTGCCACAAATATGTACTTACAATGGGTAGGCAATCTTCCAAACCCTTAGGAATTGCTTTAGCATTTGTGTTGTGATAGCATGGTTCATCCTTACATGAATTCAGCTATATTACAAGGTAAATCAAGGCCCCTGAAGCCTGGTAAATATATAATCCTGATGAAAAATAGCTAAGATAAGTGGTCTACTATGCCATATTCTTTGCTAAATTTAATTTTGTATAACAAATAGATTCGTCCACTACTCCTATTGAGAAATGTTTAAAAGGAAACCTGATGTGTAAAGAATAAACCAATTGTGCGTTTACATGTATTGTGCCAGCTCATTTAACATTGGCAGCAGTGTTCACGGCACTGACCTGCTCAGTAATTGAGTAACAGGAATGATACCATAGGCTCTTTTTAGTCATTGGGAGAAAGTTAATTGGCAAACATAACCTTTACACTGAGAAGCATTATTATTGAAAAACATTAAAAAACATAAAACATTCATAAAACTAGATGTGCCTTCCCTACATTACACCCCAAAATATAGATGAAGAGTCAAATTTAAAAAAATAAAACCATTAATACAATAGAATAAAATGCATGAATTTGTTTCTCTGGCTGCTAAATAGAGAAGCCCTATCTATTTTAAATTACATTAAGGAAAAGTGGTGAAAATAATTGACAGGTTTAACTATATAGCTGATCACAAACATTTTAACATACAAGAAATAAATCTCAAAATTGTTACTTATATAAAATTTATAGCTCAGAGTTGCTTAATATATAAAGAAGTATTTCAAATCAATGAGAAAGAAAAACATGACAGAAAAATAGATCTAGGGTAGAATAAATATGCATAGACCAAAACAAAACAAAACAACACAGACTGAAACTAACTAGTAACAAAATAAAAATTTAACAAACATACAAAGTAACTAATGTTAGTAAACAGAAGAAAAAGGAGCACATTCATTAATGAGTCCTAACTGTAATTTTATTAAAAAAGATGACTACTTATGAGCCTAAAATCTCCTTATAGAAACTCTCATAATAAAAATGGCCATTACATGCAAATATTAGACAGTTAATGATTTTGGGGAACCAAAAAGTGTTTATAATTTTGTATGGATTTTTAAAATTTGAGGCCATTATTTCTTTCTCATTTAACTAATAACCATAATAAATTTAATTTCTTTATTTCAAGTTCAAGAAATGAGAGTAGTATGCCTATATGAGCAGTTTATTTTGTTAACATTTCATAATTTCACTTTTAAGGAGTTTATTTCTTGCTAAAAATATAATTAGTTCAATTTTAACTACTTAAAATAAATGTCCATTTTTCATTAATTGGGTTTTCACACAAATCCACCCATCAATTCAAATAGAGACAGTGATATTTTTGTGATTGGCAGAAGAGGAACTGACATTTCCTGTCTGCCTTTTATGAACCAGATATGGCACTAGTGCTTTATATACATTATAGTACACAGTCTCACAATAACTTAAGATAAATGTTTTAACCATCTTATAAATCAGAAGAATGAGACTTAAAAGAGATTTAATAGCATGTATGTAACAGGCTTACCAAGAGGGTAAGCTTTGATCTTATCTCAGATTTGTATGAGTCAAAAGTTTAAATTTTTTTATAATAAAAACACTGACATATCAGGCATTTTATTACTACCTTTAAAATAAACTGAAGTTTACTTGACACCATATGTGAAAAGAAGATTAATTTAATAAATGGATAGTGTAAACAAGACTTGGGAAAATAATTAAGATCATAAGTCTGGATCTTGTACTTCATCCTCATCTTTGTGTGGCTTTGGGTAATGTATTATGGCTTTTGACTTGCTTTTCTAACTCTTATACGAAATGCTGTTACAAAATGACTAGATAACCTTTAAGGTTGGAGTGGTAATCAAAATATTTAAAATCAGTATGGCACAACAGACCAAACAGAACAGATGGCCAACCAATCAGAACTGACACCAGCTCTAATGAACCAGTCTCAAGTGAAAGATGTTTTTCAATATGACTTTTATTTAATTACCATATGAGATCTAAAAGGCTTTCTATTTGGAAACATTGTGAACACTTATTTTGGCATATTATATGTGTGAACATTATAAATTTAAATTACATTTTAAAATTCCATACTTATGACATCTGTTATTATTTATTTCTGTTATACTGAATAAATTGGTCTTTCAAGTAAATTTTTTAAATAGCCACGTAGTGAATATTATTTTCAGCAATGCTTATGTGAATTTAAAATAAAGTCAAATCCCCAAAACTAATAATTGTAAAGGTGCATATAATCATTATTGTACACATTCTTATAACATGGGAATAGTTTAAAGAAGAAAACATCATATTACTTTGTAATATTACAGGATAGATTGCAAAATACTTGCTAGTTCAGAGCAACAGGCATCTTATTGTTTAAAAAGAAAAAAAAAGATTGCATAAAACTTCCTGGAACTTTATTTATTGGTATTTAGTTTTTGTTTCCTCATTCTTAACCAAAGGAACAGAACACAACAAATAAAAATGTTAGACACCACTTTCGGGAAGTACACAGGAAGCTAACAGATTTAAGAACATGCACTTTCAACCTAATACTCTGAAATAAAGCCAAACCCTACAAGAATTATCTAACAACAATATCATGCAAATAGCTGGATTCCAAAATGTAAACCATTAGGAAAGCAAAGGGAATTTTTAATGCAAAAATAATCTGAAGTTAAAATATACTTGTTTTAAAAAGAATTGACAAACTATTTTTTTTTCATATATTAAAAGCCTGTAAACTAGGTAAGATGATATAGTTGAAAGAACAATGAACTAGGAATTAAACAGAAAGTTCTAATCTAAGAATTGACCTTGGAAAAGGTCATCTACCTTCTTTGGGTCTTTTTTACATCATCTGTAAAATAAGAAACAGTGGTGTACACAAGTCACACAGCCTTCAATTTATTTAAATGTTTACATTGTAATTTGTAAGCTTTGAGATTTTAAACTGCTTGATATATCTTTCTGAGGCTAAATCATCACTATGCAATATAAATATGTTTCTTATGGGAATAAAATGTAAATGAACTGTGTAGTATGATAACTGACATGTAGTAAATGCTCAACAGTTATTATAATTATGAACAGATGTTGGAGGTAAAGAATATTTTTTATTGAATGATCTTTATGGTCTCAGATAAAATATTCTATGGTAAAAGACATATTTATATTTTTACAGAAACACTGACCATTTGTCACTAATAAAGATAAGTAGAATTTTTAGACTATTCTGTGATTGATCAAATTCAGGAATTAAGACTGTACAACCACTTGATTTTATACTCCTAACATACGCATCAATCGATCATTCAGTAACCAGGCATTTTGGTAACTTGTTTATTCAAAACTAAACATAAAGGGACTGATTTGTTCACAGTCACTCTGAAATCGACATAAACTATACATGTAAAGGACTCGAGTGCCTGCCACTGGCTTCACAGAGTAATCAGCTGAAAAGGAGGATTAGTGATTCCGAGAGGAGATTACTTAGCAAGACTGGAAACTGAAAAAGAGGAGTCCATCTCTGTCCATAGCGTAAACTCCACTCTCAATTATGGGGACTGGAGTTTTGGGGGGGAAGTTTACACAGCAGAACAACAATTTTATCTTGAAATAATGTCAAGAAGGGGAAAGGACAGTTTTGTCTTTAGCCCCGCCAGAGGGATGCTAACACAGTTCCACTTCTTTCTCAAGCTTCTTCCTGTCTTCCTCTTTATACCCTGGTGATCCATTTTGATCCAAGCCATGCAAGATGGGGTTACTCTAAGGCAATCAGTTTGTAAATACTTCTGTCTTTAAGTTCTATCTTGAGGGGAGTAGACACACCATAAGCAAAAAGAGCCAAAAGCTCAGGCATTTGAATTCACATAGTTGAGCATCTCTGATATGGCAGCTCAGCCAGTTCTGGGGAGCTTCCTACCAGAGAAGCTTCGGAATGAAGGTCATGTTCAAAAGACCCTGGAGGTGATTTCCAACCACTCTATTGGCATGGCCATCCCGCTTCCAAACTTTTATTGTCCTAACATTTATTTTAGTAAGGTTTTATTTCTTCTGGCATTGAGTCCAAATTTCTATTCTTCTACACTTACCCTAAATATGTCTCACCTTTCCTTAGATGCCAAATAGGTATGGAAAAAGTCATTGAGTCATCATACCTGAAAATTCTCCAATTTTTAGTGTTGATTATCTCTATGATCATGATGCTAACAGAGATGCCCCAATGAGCATTTTGGTATTGGTATATTCAGAAAAAACAATACCATAATGTTATAATATATTGGGGAAATATCTGTTTTGAGAAACTTCTTTTGATAAATTTGAAAGGCAGTGGCAAGGCAGTATAATTTGGCCTCATCTAGTTCATCCTGAAATTTGCATCACATTGGAATGGATGAGGGGAGCGAGAGAATCCTAAAATATGGTATTAATCTAAGGACCATCTGCTACTAATTTTCAGTCACTGAGAGGAATATTATAATTTTAGAATAAAATGGCTTTGACCATTGCACTCAGTAACCTATATTTATATATGCATAAGAATTTTGAAATGCTTCAGTAGTCTTATTTAGCCAAAGTAAACCAATCCAGTATTTTCGAAATAGATACACATGGTAAAGCATTACTCATGTTATGTTATAGAATGTATGTTTTAACAGTAGTACAATCATAATAATTTGTGATGTTTCATGGCATAACCTAAAAATGGATCAGTAAATGCTTCTCTGATAATTAATGGTTCTTTAGAAAGATAACAAAATTACCCAGTTTTGGCAGATATTTTCCAGACTAGTTGATTAATTTAAGGAAAATTGCAGTAATTATTTCAGTGGCCTGTTTCCTGTGGAATTGTGAGTATATGACCACTTGCAATAGAGTTTCAGAAAAATTCACAGAATATTTCAGTGATGTTTCAAGTGATATTTGTGAAATATAACCATATTGAATGATTTTTTTGAATCATAGCACAGAATGTATCTCCCGATGAATCATGTACCATAATGTATCTGATTTAAAATACTACCAGCAAATTAATTATTTTTGATGTACATAACATAATATTAAAAACTGTTTATCTTGTTTGTGTATTTTAAAATATACTTACGGGTTATCCAATAGCAGTACTATGGGATTAAGTTCTTTCTTTGGTCTATAATATGCCCTGAGAGGAACAATAAAATTATACAGTCCATTTCCAGCTGTTTCAGCTGCAACTATAATTAGTTTATTTTTGAATCCATAGGCTTTTGCATCCTCATAGTAGTTATGTTGGCAACTCTAGGGAAAAAAAATTATACAAAGAAATGCCATTTTTATACTCCACTAAAATTTGGTGAAAAAACTTAGGATATATGGAAATGTAAATTTAATCTAACCAAGTAAATTCTAATTTTCTAAAAAATTTTAAAATAGTTAACATTTGTCTGTGCCCAGTTCTCCAACCTACACCAGAAAATAAAAGAGTGCGTGGACAAGGCAAATGCATTGTGGCTCTGCAGCCTGGTACCGAGAGAGACAGCACGTGTGTGTGTGTGTGTGTGTGTGCGCGCGTTCTCTCCTGTGAACTAAAACCTGCTGCCAGATGACATCCGGGTATCTGCCTCTGACTTTCATTTAAACGTATTATAATTGAAAAGAGCAGCCTTGCAAAAATACTAGGAAAATACCTGATCCCCAAAATTCCCCAGTAACCGTTAAAGACCAATCCTATGAGTTCTCTCACTAACAGGTACCCTGCAGGAGATCTGTGTTGCACAACTTCTGAAGAAAGCTGAATGGACAGAAAAAAGATGGAAATCTCTCTCTTTCAAAATTGTTTTTTGAGAATCTGCTTTTACAGAGTTCCTTGGTAAACGGCAGGAAAACAAATTCCAAGCCTCAACCATATCTCCAGACAGAGTCACATCTCCTGTGATAATCCCTTCTTCAAGGAAAGGCAGGAGAGCCAACTCTCAGACTTTGACATCCTTGCAGTTTTTTTTTTTTTATTTCAGGGTATTATGAGGCTACAAACATTATGGTTACGTTTTATGTCTTTGCCTCACCCAAGCGAGGGTTAGAGGCGTGCCCTTCCCCCCTACAATGCTCCCGTGTCCTTTAGTTGCGGGTTTACCCTCCGCCCATCCCCCTAATCCCTGGAGGGCATGGCTGCCATGTGAGCACCCTGGTGTTGATCAGTTAGTACCAGTTTGATGGTGAGTACAAGTGGAACCCATTCTTCTGATCTTGTGGTGCCTCACTTCTGATAATGGGCTCAAGTTGAATCCAGGAAAATTAAGAGGTGCTAGCAGTTTTTGTTATTCACCTGCTGCTGCTTTTGTTATCAGCTTACAGCCATCATTATTTTTTTTTTCCTCTTCGTCACTCTTAAAACCAGAGAGCCGTGGGGCCTCACTTTTGCATCCCCTTCTCTTCCTTTGGGATGCTCCCTGTTCTCTTTCCCCCTCCCCCTCTTTCCCCTCTCTCTTTCACTCTCTCACTCTATCCTTCTGAGAAGATAAAATAAATGTTTTTTTACTTTTATATCTCAATCTTTGTGTGAGAAATCTTTCACCACGCTGCACCATGACCAGTTACTAGGCTTTCCACCCTAAGGATAATATTATCTTATCTTATAATAAGATAGCCTCAGGAATGGTCCCAGTACTGAATACCCAAAATGATGAATTAAAACAACAAAACAAAACAAAACAGTAAAGGAAAAACCCCATCTAAATGTATAGCTGACCTGGCAAGATAATAATGCTAATACTGAAAACTAAAATAATAAAAACATCAACAGAAACAAGAACAAAACATTACTACCGCTAATTGTTAGCCTGAGAGTATTTTGCTGTTTCCTGGGGTCTAGAATTTTCTGTAGTTAGCATTACTAACCCAAGATTATTTTAAGTTAAATTATCTGCATGGAGAACTGCTTTGATGTTCTGCTCTTTTACCTTCATATCTCTCTGTGGATATTTTTAATTTATTTATTTGGTATAAGATTAGCTAATTCTCTGGAATATTCATCATCCGTGGAACATTCTTTGCCATTATTCCTTAATAAAAAATTATAAAATACAGGCAGGAACAAGGCACCACGAGTAAACAGAAACAATCATAACAAGATAATTAGACCTACAATGACTATAGATTTTGCTGTTGTCATATTCAGAATATAAGATGAGCATGTTTAATACATTTAAAGAAATAAAAGAAAGTATTTAAAGTAAGAACAAAGAAAAGAGGTTATTTAAAATAACATCTAGCAAGTGTATGTTAAAAGTACTATCTATATTGTTTCTATATCTTCTAGAACTAAACAGTATAACTCAAAAGATTATTTAAATCACACATAAGATACAGTTGAGGGAACCAACTATAGGACAGAATTGAAGATATTACCCAAAATGAAAGGCAGAGAAGAAAAGGAACAGAACCTAGCATGAAAAAATTAAGACTTGGAAGATAGTGTGAGAATATCAAATATACATTTAACCAGAATACCTGAAAAAAAGATAAGAAAGAATCAGAAAGAAGCCTCATTCAAGTAAATGTTGACTGAGAATTTTTGAAAAGTGATGAAAAACCCAAATCCTCCAGTTCGGGAAACTCAGTGAATCCTAATCCAAGTACATAAATGAACTGTCGGGCACATCACAGTCAAAGTGCAGAACAACCAAGACAATGAGCAGTTCTCAAGAAAAGAGAATAAACAAAACAGAGAGCAGACCTACAAGAAACAACAATTAGAATGATGGCCGGTTTTTCAATAGTAACTTGGAGCACAGAGGCAGTAAATTAAGTCCTTAAAGTGATGAAAGAAAGAAAAAACAAAACAGAACAAAACAAAACTAAAAAAACCCCTAATAGCCTAGAATTGGACATCAAGCAAAACTGTCTTTCAAGAGTGAGGGCAGAATAAGAACATTTCAAGGAAAAGCATAACAGAATTTGTCACCAGCAGAATGTCCGTAACAGAATTTCTAAAGGTTGCAATATAGGAAGTAGGAAATTGAATCCAGAAGGAAGGTAAGGAATAGGGAAGAAAGGAAAACAAAGGACATGGTAAAGAACAAGGACAGCAAGTCTTCACTGGAACGGTGCTTGGAGAATTATTGATTAATACAGTCAGATTCTGAAGCCATATGAAGAAATAAGGTCACTCAGAAAGAAGTCGTGTCAAGGAAGGAGAACAGTGATGGGTTAATGTTTGGATCCTTACGAACTTTGATACCTATGAGATATATAAAAGAAAAATAAGACAACTTTCCCTAAAGAAACTTAGAAGTAGCACAATTAGTAAGGAAAAGAGAATTTAGCATGGATAAACCTTGACCAGGCCACCAGCTTGCTGACGCTGGTATAGAATAAATTGGACGACATGACCCCAACTCACCCACTTCCCAAAGTAGGGGCAGCTGCATGGCACCATCCCTCAATCCCGAAGAGGGCACTCATTCACACAGTAGACCACCTCCCACCAGCGTAACACTACCCAAATAACCAATAATCCCAGATATCACGAGTCAATCAGCAAAGCGCAGAAACTTTGTTTTCTTAATGTGGTAAAGAGATGGTTAAGAGTTTTGACATTTAAAAGATCCTCCATTGCTCCTCCACCAACCCCGATCTCAAAAAGCTTAGCCTTTCTGTTGAATTGGATTCCCTGCTTGGAGATAAATCATTTCTATCCTTTGGTGTCCTAATATCTCCCAATGTTTCTTTTCTTCTTTAACTGGTTATTAAAAGAAGTAACCAGAAGTGAATCCAGGTTTTGTGGTGCCTGAAGCATATGTTATTTTAGGAATCCTTTTTAAGGAAAACAACAAAAATATTACAAATAAAAATTAGTCTTGGAAGGGGTCAATGCAAGTGAAGGGTCCTATAATTTAGGATTTATGAATGTTACTGAAGATATACAGCAGGCCAGAAATATAAAATGCTTAACAATATTAGAGTAAAATAAGGACTGCAAAATAACAAAGCCTTGAGAGATGTAATCGTCCATCTCAGTGGGCCTAGATAAATATTTAGGAGCAATGGCAAAGATTCACAAAGCAAATTTAGGGAGATAAACATAGGAATTTTCTAATATTTCTGTTAATCTTCCTCAAGAATGACAGCAACAGGCAAAATTTATAATGTTTATCATATGAAAAAAATAATAGCAAGAATATTAACAAAATATATAAAGCACTTAGTTAAGTTTCTTGCACTTTATTAAACATGTACCAATTTACATAATTACTCTAAGAGCACTATGAGGTTCGTATTAAAATTGTATCTACTTTACAGATGAGGAAACTGCAATTGATTGGTGAAGTTAGTTGCCAAGTTGCACAGATTTTAAGTGGAGAGCTGGGATTTTAACTCTAACTTCAAAGTTTAGAGTAAAAGAAGAAACCCCTGGCTAGAATTAGTGGCACATTTGAATCTCTAGGGGGAGTGTAAGGTTCTTCTTTGTATCTATTTTCTTATTCTTCTGGAGAGTGAAGTCACACAGGTCAAGCCCAATGTCTATATTATGAAAAGATATAATTCTAGCATTATTGGAATTATCCTCTTTTGGAAAGCTTCTCTGGAACATCCGGGCAGGAACCAAGAACTGCAGAAAAAACTCTGAGAAAGCCGACATCAGGCAAGATGCTGAGCTTCCAGTCTCGTCATAACAAATCTTTGTGTCTAACACATGGACTAACTCATCTCATCGTGCAGTGGGATTCCATACTGAGATTTGAAGCAATAATGGTAAAATAAATAATGCACATTTGGCTAAAATGACTTCGGGGGACTTTGGATGTTAAAGGTTCATAGGGTGGAGATTCAGGTAACTCTATCTTCCTCTTTAGAAACATGATTGGCTAATCCATTTGATTAATTTAGTAGAAGAGAAAAGCATTTGGGTAACCTTTACGCACTTAAAAAAAAAGTAAAATTTACCACTTTATGTAATTAAATTCACATTTGAAAAGATAATATCCATTAAATATATTTTAGTAAAAATGCTATACAAATTATTTAACTATATGTAATTGTAAAATGCTATAATTTTATTTTTTGAGAGAACAAGAGCAACGTGTGCTTACCTTATCTAATCTTAAGCAGCAAAATGGCACTTTTTCATGAAGGAGATGACAAAAAGTGGGTGAACTTCCTATATATGGAGAGTAAGGTGGGTAGCCTTTAGCATACCTGCAAAATAATACAAAATATTATCGTTGGATAAGGCACGCAAATTGGGGAAATTAAGTTATGGCCATGTTCCCTTGCTTTGATAAAGTTAGAATCAGTAACTCTGTGTTGCAATTATATTTCGATAAAAAGATAGTTTAGAATAGAGGTAGGTAAATTAGAGTCCAGAGATCAAATCTGTCCCACCACATGGTTTTGCAAATTAAGGATTGTTTTTATATTTTTAAATGGTTGAAAAAAGTCAAGAGAATATTTCATGTCAAGTGAAAATCATATGAAGTGCAAATTTCAGAATCCATAAATAAAGCTTTATTGGAATACAGCCATACTCATTCATTTATGTATTGTGTTTGAGTGCTTTTGTGCTTCAAAAATAGAGTTGAGTAGTTGCAACAGGAGCCAGAAAGCATAGAATATTTACTAGTTGTTCCTTTCTAAAAAAGCTTGCTAACCCTCAGCTTAGATTTGGATATATTTTTTAACAAATATTAATGTTAATTTTTATAAAATGCATTTAAAGCAAATGCATTATTATGATTCACTCTATCAATATTTGTTAGTCATAAAGCCATAAACAAAAGGAAGCAAATGACTAAGTTAATTAGTTAAAGACAGAGAAATCTGTTGCTTTGTTGAAATCATGCTTAAAATATTATCAAAGACATTCAGTTTGCTGACTTTTGAAAAATAGCCACCTACACATTTCGGCTACACTGACTTTCAAAATGGAACGTCTAAAAAGTAACAGCATAAATGATAATTAGGAAATAAAGGAAAATCTAGTGAAAGGAATATTCCTTTATCTAAAAGAAAGCTCTTAATTGTAATAAATTTACCTGCTGAATCATGACATTTCATACCTAGTTGAAATTCTTTTATAGACATCATTGGCTGAGAGGTAAAATACAGATAAAATTGGAGGATAAAGTTTTATAAGTTTAGAAGTTGATAATCTCCACAATTACTTTAACATCTCTTTCATTTTTCTAGAAATAAAAATTTCTACTACTCAATTTTTTAAGAAGTCTAAAGAAAGAATTTCAATCACACCACAAAACACTGTTTCCTGGAAAGATATTCGTTGCCAAACCTATTCCTGTTCCCATCCTGGCTTCCAAATATATTTGAGTACACAGACCACTACTTTCCTGGAGAGTGAATTTTATTCTGAGGGTACATCAATGTTTCTTATAATAAATGAAAAAAAAAAGGTAAGAAATTTTAAAACAGAGGATCTTTCCAAGTTTCAATGATACTTCTGTTTATTTCAGTTCAATTCAATATTAATTGAACTTATATAAAAGATACCGGTAGAAATGTTAGGAAATGATGTTACCAATGCCACTACCACCAGTACTACTAGTAAGAATAATTGATACTAATCGAATACTTACTCTGCACAAAATACTGTTTCGTCATGAGCATTTTTGTCCATTATCTCAATTAATCATCATATGTTATGAAGTAGTAATTACACCCAGGTTATAGGTAAAGAAATTATAGGCCAGATTGTTTAATCAAAGTCACTTGCCCACAGCCAGCATAAGGAGGAACTGGCATGGAAAACCAAGTTTTTCAGACTGCACAGTCAAGGCTGGGGACTGCTGAGCTTTCCTCAAAACACGGCAATTTAATATGTGGAATAAGACATGTAAACAAACTCTACTGCAGGCTAAAATACGACTAGTACTAAGTAGATTAAAGAGACAGCACAGCTTTCATTCAGGCATTTACAGTGCTTTGATGCACGCTGTCTGTAAAAGACGGTAAAAGTTGCGATAAGCGAGGAAAGCTCAATGGAGGAGGCTGCATTTACATGTCCTTGGATAATCGATTGAACTTCAAGCGGATGTGGAATAAAGGAAATTAAAAGTAGAAAGTACAATATAACAAAAAAGCATAGAATTATAAAAATGCAGTTTATGTCCTGGGAATGATATCTTTTTCTTTTCTTTAAGGATAAAAGATAATTTAAAGAAAAATGAGGTTGAAAAATATTAGGTCATTAAATATGAAATGTCTGATTTTGAATCAAAAGTGTAGTTTATTATGTCTCAAACAAGAAGCATATGATTAATCAAAATATGTGCCTAAACTATCGACACAGTTTTGTCATCTTAATGGTAGCTTGCTTATGTCAGTAGCAAAGAAGCCTGGAGAGTGAGTGGTGATGAAATCGTAAAAGGCATTTTCCACAGCTTGTTGAGAATTGAGTATTTTTCCTTGCAAGAAGTGGTCCAAAGTCTGGAAGAAGTTGTAGTCATTTGGTGTAAGGCTTGGTGAATAAGGTGGATGACACAGAGTTCCCAAGTGCAGTTTCTATAATTTGAGCAGGGTTGTTTTTTGCAACATGTGGTCTTGCAAGAGGACTGGCCTGTCGCTACTGACCAATCTCACCTGCTTCATCACAAGCATCTTCACCATTTTGCCCAGTTGGTTGCAGCAGACATCTGCTGTAATCAATTGATCAGGTTTCCCGAAGTTGTAGTAGATAATACCAGAGCTGGACCACCAAACAGAAACCATTAGCTTTTTTTGATGAATATTTGGTTTCGGACTGTGTTTCGGTACTTCATCTTTATCCAACCATTGTGCCGAATGCTTGCGATTGTTGAAAAGAATCCATTTTTTCATCACATGTAACAATACAGTGTAGAAATGGTTTGCCTTTAATATCATGACAGCAAAAAAAGTCAAGCTTCAATACTATTTCTCTTCTGATGCTCATTTAATTCATGCAGTACACCTACCCAGCTTCCTTACCTTGCTGATTTGTTTCAAATGGTCCAATATTGCTGGAACAGTAACATCAAACCTTGCTGCTAAGTCACTCACAGGCTGAGATGGATTCGCTTCCACTATAGCTTCCAGCTCATCTTTATCCACCTTGGTCTCAGGGCACCCATGTGGCTCATTTTCAAGATTAAAAGCACTGGAACGGAACTTCTCAAACCATCAACGTGCTGTGTGTTCATTTGCCACATCCTTCCCAAACACTTCGTTGATATGTGGAACCGTCTGTGCTGCACTGGTTCCGTGATGGAACTCATAATTGAAAATAACACGAATTCTTGATTTATCCATGGTTTTGAAAAATTTCTCTAAAATATTTTGAAAGATAATCACAAGCCAAATTGTGCATTTTCAAGACTGAGGATGTACCTTCCCAATAAAAATAAAACAAGAAGTGTCAAAGTGAAATGTCAGAGATATCAACTGCCAAACTTAGTACTTAAGGAAATCGGACATTTCATACTTAATAACCTAATACACGTTGAAGCCATAAACTTGAGGGCTTAAAATGCTCTGTAGTCAAGAGAGATACTTCTATTTGGTAGAAATATGTGAGAATAATTCTAGGATGTCAGGAAGGTAAGAACATTACTCCTTACCTATTGGTAAGTATCTAAAGACATTACTTAAGGACAGTAGCACAAAACCCAGTAATCTTACACCTTTTTTAGAGGATATGCACATACTCTAAGTTTGAGGAAATTTCTTCATCTGGTGTAGTTTCATCTTCTGATTGATCACTTAAAAGATCACATGTTTGAATTGATGATGCATCTGCCACCTCTAAAACCGGAGCGATGCTAGGTCTTCTCATTTCTTTGCTTCCCTCTGTGGGAAGGGTCAGGGTAGGGCCGCTTGCTGATCTACAGCTTGTGTCTTGCAAGTCTATAGCCACAGTACCTAAAACAACGAAATACGAAAATCATCAAGGAATTTGCCAAATATATGACATATTGATCATTTAATGATGAAAGTTAAATGAAATACAGTCAGCATAACAAGGAAATATATTTTTTTTTAGCCTTTAGTTCTGCAAGCCAATTATTTCTTTTTCAGATGGGCATTTTCTTGGATAAGAAATTCCGTATTTGTACAAAAGTGTATTCACGGAGAGTTTCTGTATAGCACAAACCATAAGATTTGTGAAATCCTGAAGTACATAGGCACTTAAAGTAAAAAAGTATACCTTGTCGTTTCAAGTTATATTTAAAATTTTTTGTTGATCATTTCTATTTTGTAAATTCCTCATTATGTCTTTCCCCCTTTTCTACTGAACTACTTTTTATTGATTTTCATATCAGAATTTTGTATTTATTCTTTTATTGAATGAATATGTATTGAGTTCCACATATGGGAATACTAGCCTAAGCACTTGAGCTGTGTAGGGAAGAAGAAAAACAAAGTTTGTACACATACGGATTTTATCTTTAAAATAACCAGGGATAGATAAATAAATGAATGAAGTAATTTTAGATAATGATAAATAGCATGCAGGAAAAAGAAAAAGCAGAATGATGAGATAAAAAAGTGATAGGACTGGAGGGCAGGGGAGGAATGGACTTTTTATTGGGTGGGAAAGAAGGCCACTGTGAAATTGTGACATTTGGTTTTTGACCTGAAAGACAGTAAGGCTCACACAAAGACATGGGGTACCTGGAGAGAGTGAGAACAGCAAACACAAACAACTTACAGCTATTGAATACTCAGATTATTCAAGGAATAGTAAGCAGAAGAAACAATTTCCTGTGTGATTTTTATTGGAATTTCAAAATTAATGGAAACATAATTTTATGAAAAATTACTGTCTCTCCCCTTCCAGAGAAAATAATACAACCTCCCCGATGAACGCCATCGTATTTCATGATCAGTCTCTTCACTTACGCACTCAGTGGCACCTGGCCATCCTAGAAGGACCTGCGAAAGTCCTTAGTCTTCACTTGGTCCCGTTCTTTAAAGGAAGTGGAGTCAAGCGTTGCTTAGCAAGGGGGACACACCCTGAAAGACGCATCGCTAGGCAATTTCACCGTTGTGCAAAGACTGCAGGGTGCACTTACACAGACCTAGATGGTGTAGCCTCCCACACACCTCGGCTGTATGATGCGGTCCACTGCGCCAAGACTACAAACTTGCATAGCACATTACTGTGCTGAATACTGTTGTCAACTGTAGCACAACTGTAACTATTTGTGTATCTAAACGTATCTAGGACATAGAAAAGGTATAGTTATGGGACCATCATCATCTATACCATTCATTTTTGACCGAAACGTCAGTATGTGGGCAATGATTGTATTTAAAATGTTACTTCAGGCCGGGCACAGTGGCTCATGCCTGTAATCCTAGCTCTCTGGGAGGCCGAGGCGGGCGGACTGTTTGAGCTCAGGAGTTCGAGACCAGCCTGAGCAAGAGCGAGACCCCGTCTCTACTAAAAATAGAAAGAAATTAATCGGACAACTAAAAATATATAGAAAAAATTAGCCGGGCATGGTGGCGCACGCCTGTAGTCCCAGCTACTCGGGAGGCTGAGGCAGGAGGATCGCTTGAGCCCAGGAGTTTGAGGTTGCTGTGAGCTAGGATGACGCCATGGCACTGTAGCCCGGGCAACACAGTGAGATTCTGTCTCAAAAAAAAAAAAAAAATGTTACTTCCCTCAAACCTCTAACTTTACAACTTTCTTCTTCATAATAGCATCATTTTTTAAGGGGGAGAAAGGCTAATGGATTTTAGTATCTTTTTTCTTGTATCATAGAAAGAGGTCAGGAACTGATGTCTAAAAACCTTTTCAGGGGAATTAAAAGTCTTCTCAGAGGAAAGGATTTAAGGAGAATGCTTCTGAGTGTGAGAGCTGGCAGAGACAAGACTGGTGAGAATATGTCGGTATTCCTCACACTCAGAATAAACTTGAGGTTAAGTTTCAGAGGCAGGCAGCTCTTCATATGCACAGTGCTCTGTGTACCGGGAGAGGACGGCAGCCTGTACACATGTTCTGTAGGCTCCATAGAGTATTCTATGAAGGGACACACAGGAGTCTGTCTGAAACAGCTCTCCCTAAGAACAAGGCGTGGGGACCAGCACTCAGCAGTTCCAATATCTGAGCGAAAGTAAGGAAGGCTGCCGTCAGACACTGCAGACGATTCCCTCTTTCCTAATTGTAGCATCATAGACACAGGATTAACGTATAATCCAATCCATGTTTGGGGGGGAAGAGGGCTTCCTAGAGGTGGAAAGTTTAAACTGTTAAGCAAGTGAGTGGATTTATTTAAATTTTATAAATTTGATTTATAAAAAATAAAGGAAAGCCATAAGATATGATCTGCATCCCACTGTTGTGAACACAAATTGGTATTTACTACCTTTACTCTCTGCAGTTGACCATGTCATCTACTTCAGAGAGAAAAGAGAAGTTGTCATAGAAAACCCTTTCGAGTCTCTGTCCAAACACGTGAGAGCTTCATCAAACCTTTCTTCCCTCATTTCTATCTACAAGGAAACAGACATACCTCCCTTTGTGTAAAATTAACCCTGATTCTTGTGCTGTGGGTCATGCTCCCTTCTACGTCCTAAGGGACTGTAATCTTTTCATCACCTTCTCCCCAGGACATTTACTCTATACCACCTCCAACTACTTCCTTATCATTTTTCTGCCTAACACAGGCAAACTTCTTGAAAGAGCCCTATATACATGGGATTCATCTTTTCATCACTTCTCAGTTATTCCGCCAACATTAATACCTGGCGCCAGGCTGACCACTGGGATATGATCGTGAGAAGTCAGAATTCAGCAGGGAAGACACGACTGAAAATGCAGTTACAGAAACAAGCTCTACTTTGAAGCCGCCCTTTCCCTAATGGAAGCTGCATCCTCCCTGAGGTCTTCCCCTGCAACCCTCTGAAGAGGGGGCTGTGTTTCAGAGGTGGGTCGATATCCTCGGTGGTGTCACTGCCTCTTTCGGATCATTTTCCCTTCATGCTCTGCAAAAATCCCAGCTTTGTATTGTGTCTTCCTATTATAGGACTCACTATCTTTCATTATTTTGATTGTTCATAAACCCTGATCACTCTACTTATTTCTTAATGATTCTTGTCAGTTTCTCCAATACTATTTGTGTTCGTTTGCTAGGGCTGCTGGAACAAAATACTGTGGATTGGGTGTCTTAACAGGAATTTATTGCCTCATAGTTCTGGAGGCTAAAGGTCAAAAATTGAGCTGCGGGCAGGGTTGCTTCCTTCGAGGGCTGAGAGGGAAGGTCTGCTCCAGGCCTCGCCCCTTGGCGTGTAGACAGCTGTCTCCTCCCTGCGTCTCTTTCTGTCACCTTCCTTCTATGCATGTCTGCGTCCAAATTTCCTCTCCTCGCAAGTACACTAGTCATGTTGGAAAAACGCTATCTTCAAATAAGGTCACATTCTGAGGCACTGGGGGCCAGGACTTCAACCCATGAATCTTGGAAGACATAATCCGACCCATAAACACGATTCTCGCCTCATCCAGTGTTTCAAAACACAACCTGCTGAACCTTCCCACACTCTGACCTCTCAGCCCGTTGAATTCACTGAAGAAATTGTTTTTCACCTTTTCTCAGCCCTTCACTGCCATAGTCATCTTTTAGATGTTGTGATGGCCCCAACGACAGTGCTGCGTGTACTCATGTTGTGCCCTCACCCTCCGACCACCACGACTTCCTGTGGTTTCAGGTCGCTCCTACCGATTTCTCAATTTTAGTATGGTTTTACCTACTGTAACTTCAGTTCTATTGATGATACCAACTTATCATTGTCTCCCTCACTCCCTTGATGTTGTCTCTTCTCTTCTTACCTATCTTAAATTCCACTGAGAGCACTGTGATTATTTTCTTGCATATATCCTTGGCTCCCTTGATACATTTTTGCTTCATCACACACTCCTGACAAAACTGAACTCTCCACGTTCCCCATACCTGTATCTATGCAACTGGATATGCCTGGATAGTCTAGCTCTTGCATCATGGTTAGTCTCCCCTCACTGTCTGTCCTAATTCTTGGTGGCTTCATTGTACATGGAGGTGACCCTTCTAATACTCCAGACTCAGTTCTTTGTCCTCCCCTCCAATCATGGTTTTCATCTACCATTGCTCAGACATTCCCTCTCAAGGTCACGCCCTACATTTTTAACTACTCTTTACTGTACCTGATCCCTACTTCTGGCGTCTCACTCTCTGACACTTATCTGTACCTCTTCTCTTGCCAGCTCTCCCCCTCTTGATCCCCACTGGAATTAAAATCTATTAATCTACTTCCTTTTCAGTGTCCTTTAACCAACAGATATCTTTTCATTTCCTTACCTAAGTACCATAGTCTCTCATTATACTCTCTTATTCATTAATATATCCCCAATTTCTTTGCCTTTCTCATTCCCTTTACTTCTACCACCAACTAGCAAGTCATTCCTTTGTTCCTTTTTACAAACAAACTTTTTATTTTTTATTTTTTTTTTTGAGAGATTCCCACTTTTTTACCCATTAGAGTGCAGTGGTGGCATCATAGCTCACTGCAACCTCACATTCCTGGGCTCAAGTGATGCTCCCACCTCAGCTCCCGAGAGTGCTAGAATTACAGGCGTGAGCTACCGCGCCTGGCTTGCAAACTTATGAAGATTGTCTAGAACTAGTGTTCCTAATTTGTCTTCTACCGCTATTTCCCAAACCCACTCCGATCTGACATTCTTCACCTCCACTCCACGGCAAGAACTCTTACCAGGGTAAATAGTGATCGCTGCGTTGTTCACTTCAATCAGCATTTCTCAGTCCTTATGTTATACAGCCTGAACTGAATGATTTTAGGGACTATTTACTGATCAGATTGAACAGAATTTGGTGAATTATGAGGTATGAGAAGAGAGGGCTGGTGAAAAGTCAGAATTGTGACTTTACAAATTGGAGGATAATGGTGTCATGTAATTTTTAGTAAAAGAAAAAAAAATGGAAATGATGTTGAATGAAGGTGGAGAAATTAGTTCAATTTGAATATGCTATATTAGTTTTTCCTGCAACATACTCAAACAGAAAGAACCAGTAGGCAGTTGAATATATTGTGGTGAAGAGAAGTTTGAGTTAATGATTTAGGTAAAGGAATCGTTAGTTTATGGACAGTTGACTCCATGAGAGCAGATGTGACCACACAGGGAACAGGAATGTGCACAATGCAGACAAAAGGCACTGGAGTATCTCAAGAGTGACATGGTCAATGTTGACATAGGCCGTGAAGACATTCACCAGACCGAGTGACAAAGAGAGCAGTGGTGACCTTGCCCGGCCAGTTTCAGTGATACGACTGCAGACGTCAGACTGAACTGGGTAGAGACTTGGGGGAACAAGAAGATTTCACGCCTGCCACTGAAGACAACGCATTTGAGAAATTTTCCTGTGAAAATGTCATGGCAGGAGTTTTAAAAGTGTATGCGTATGTCTGCAGAGAGATATGGAGAGAGAAAGAGAGAGACAGAGAGAACAGCCAGTGATTTTGGGGGAAAGATAAAGTTAGGTAACAAGGATGAAATAAAGAGTGAAGTCTCTGAGGAGGAACAAGAGGACGGGTCCACAGCATAAGTGAAGGCATTAGTATAATATTAGTTAAAAGAAAGGACATATTTTCCTTGTGACAGAAGCTAAAGTTCTGTAGGTTTTCGGTGGTTTAGTGGCAAGATATTAAGGAAGCTCTTATTTGTCTAGATCTATCTAATTTCTTTTCATTTTTCTTTTCTTCTGTGTCATAGAAGCCAAGCTCAACGGTGAGAATGAGATGGAGACAGAAAAAGCATTATGAGAAAAATGAAGAATATTTGAAACAGCCTCTGTTGGTAACTGGACAGACAATTTACAAGAGAAATATAGAAGTGTAAGGTGCTTATGTGTAATCAGAAAAATAAAATAATTGTCAGAAGCATTTTTATAATATCTTACTTTTTGATCAACCTGACAACTTAGAAATTTTGTTCTGTATACCTAATCATACTTAATTTGTAAAACACACATGCATTTCGAAAATTGACTTTGAAATTTTAATAACAATTGAAGTGTATTTATTATTCATTTTTATTTTAGAAATAAACTAATAACATTTTTAAACTTGTTTATACTTACCCATGCTGGCAATTATGCTGTGCACAGGTAGTCTGGAAGGTCCGTGATAAAATGACCCTGACACATTGCTTTTTCTCTGCTGGTCTTGGTTCTTAAATGCTGAATTCTCTTCTTTGGTAATATTAATATAAAAACATGTGTCTGTAGAATTCATAATGTATCGAGGACCTGGATTCAGCAAAATGTTTTTATTATCCTCCCTCCTAACACCAATCAAACAGACACCAAACCTTAATTTAAAAAAGAAAATAAAAGAGTTTAAGAATTGTAATTCAGCAATTTAGACTTTTTTCAAGTTTATATATGTAAGAAAATTGGTAGACTAATTTTTTTTACAGGAAAAGAAACTATGTTTTTAGTGTGTTGTAAAATCAACTGAGTTGATTATGACCAGTATAAATGTATATTTTACTGAAAAAGAATGGAAGAGAATAGAAAACATCAGGGTGCATGCAATATAGTAAGAGTATTATTGTTTTGTAAATTTTTACGAAACATTTACTTTGATCAAAATATATAAACAATATTTCTTACGCTGGTCAAAAAAGTTTTAAAACTGTTGGTTGAAAGGAAAAAAGAAACCCAAGGTCACATGAGAAAGAACCAAAGCCCCTGAATTTCTTTAATACTGTTTCTATCATATTTGGTTTACTTAGAATTTTAGAAAAAACATTTTTAAATAGTCCTAAATAGGTGTATAGTTTAATTAGGAGAAATAACAACCTTTGAATGTAATAGGCTACTTAAAAAAATTCTTGTCTACTTTTTTTGGGTTACTTCTCAAACACAAATTATCTTGAATATTTTTACTTCATTATGTCTTAATATGTTATAAAATGAAGTTTAAAATCAAAGTACAACACAGATGTACCTCTACTTATGATGGAGTTACATCCCAATAAACCCATCATAAGTTGAAAATATTAAGTAAAAAATGCATTTAACATACCTAACCTATCAACAACATGGCTTAGCCTAACCCGCCTTAATATGCTCAGAACACTTCCATCGTGTACAGCTCGGAAAAATCATTTAACACAAAGCTTATTTTGAGTAACAGTATTAAATATATAATGTAATTTATTGACTACTGTACTAAAAGTGAAAACAGAATGGTTGTATGGATATCAAAGTATAGGTATTACTGAATGTGATTGATTCTATACCATTGTATAGTAAAAAAAAGTCATAAATCAAGGCATTATATGTCAGGGACCACCTGAATGTTACATATTAGATAGTGGAATATACTAGATATATTATAAGTCCCACAACTATATTATATTAATACATTTTAGTACAGATAATATATTTTCATAATATATATACATTTTTATTTCTTAAGTAAATAATTTTTTCTCCAAAAGGAAAAAAATAATATTCCATGTTTGAAGTGGAAGGTAGTGTCCTTTATTTTTTAACTTAATTCTCTGGCCAAACCAGATGCCACCATCAGAGATTGTTTTGTTTTTTTCATGGATAGTTTTTACAAAAATTATTATTACTTTGTTTAAATTTTTAATCAATACTTTAAAATTTAGATCTGTAAAGATGATTTTCATTTGTTTGTGAACTCCTAATGGATTACAATATTTTAAAATGAGAGTTTAAAAGACGCTAAAGTAAATAGTCCTACTAACTTATACAATGTAAACTGTTGAGACCATACAGAGGCCACAGTTCAAATGGTGCAAAATCATGCCAAAAATTCCAGAATACTTGAAACTCAAGAGCACTAATATGAGCTGAATTTTAGAAAATTGTGTTTAAATGGTATGCCCCATTGATTGATGGATATTTTTATTCCATTCTGGAAACAGAAACATACTTTTTGTGAGCATGGAAAGAAGCATATGTAAAACTCTTTCCTTCATATTCAGCAAAAAATGTACTCTCTTCCAAAACAATGTGGTAGACTTCATTCCCAGAGCATCTTCCATACGTCTTCTGCCATTGTTCTGGCGATTGCTGGCCTTCTCTGCAATACAAGCACACACACATACACACACACAAAAAGAGAAACAGTGAGTGTGGTTAAAAAACCAGTTGTCATACAACAACTGTGTCCAACTGTAAGAACTGACAAGCACTATTTCAAGAAGTATAGGCATGGTGCTTTGAACTCTGTATGGTGATATGACATGCAAGAGTTCCTACAAAATTTTGGAAGTTAACACCATATATATATATACACACACACACACAAGCTTGAGAAATGGCAGTTTCCTAGAAAGTGGGAGTTTTATCAGGACCCAGCTAATGAAGCTGGAAAGCATTCAGTCTGACCATGAATCAATGAGACACAGCATTCTATATTTATTCTCTCTTTATGTATATCCCGTCATGTACATTCTATATACATTGTTTTATAGTCTCCATAATGTTGCCAACTTTATCTCATTGATAATACCTGCTTGGCTCCTGTAGGTGTTTGATTTTGCTCTGTATTTAAAATTACAAATGTATCTATTTCAATTTATCATTTCATGTCATAGAAAATATACTCTTCATTTCCGTTCATATCAACACAATGGCTTTCTTCTAATTGTGCAGGAATCAAGGAAAGACATTTCTTTGTGATAAAAATAAGGCTTCTGCAATGGACTGAATGTTCATGTCCCCCAAAATTCATATGATTAAACCCTAATTCCAATGTGACGGTATTTGGAGGTGGGGTCTTTGGGAGGCAATTAAGTCAAAGGGTGAAGCACTCATGAATAGGATTGGTGCTCTTATGAAACAGAGGCCGAAGAGCCAGCTCTCTTTCTGCCATGTGAAAATGCAATGAGAAGTCAGCAGTCTACGACCTAGAAGAGGCTCTCACCAGGACTCAGCCAGGTTGGCATGCAGATCTTGGACTTACAGCCTTCAGTACCGTGAGAAATAAATTTCTGTTGCTTATAAACAATCCAGTCTAGGCAATTTGTAATAGCAGCCTGAACTAAGACAGTCTCCGAAAGAGATGACGCCAAAGCATTTCTAAAAAGTAGACAAGTTTACTACAAAAAGTACATTTTCTTTTGCTCTAAAATGTTCTGCTTTGGCTCACCTAACTCATTGGCCTCAGAAATATATTGAATATTCAATTTATGAGAAATTTATAATGTATAAATATATTTTTTCATTTTATACAATAAACTCATTTACCTTTGCTAAATAAAGCTTATGAACTCTACAAGAAATGCACATTTTAGAAGCAAAGTGATAAATATATACAAATCAAAATATTTCATCATAATCTCTATTAGATTCTTAATGGATGAAAAATGACAAGTCTTGACTACATTATTTAGAATTTATAAAACATTTTAAACTCTGAGTGTTGCCTAAAAGATTATTATGGAGAGGGAACATTTGTAAACATTTTGAGTGCATCGGTAAGTTTTAAAAAATCATATATTTTCAAAGTATGCTCCTCTTGTGCCTCATTCCTTCTTAAATGTGCGTAAGAGACAATAGTCTGTGCCCTGGAATCTGACTGCTTGACCTGAGTCCCAGCTTTGCAGTTTTCTGTGAGTTATTTAACTTCTCAGTGCTTCTTTATCTCTTCTGTGGAAAACAGTGTCAGCCTGAGGTAGCACAAAGAAATCACTTAGGAATCGTTGAGATCATGGAAAACACTTAGTAAATGTTAGCTGTCAGTATTATTTTGCTGCTATGTGCTCCCAATTGCTAAATTTGGGATCCATTTTCAACATTTCCAGTCAACGTACCAAACAATAATGTTCTTAAAACCTTTACATGTTCTTCTATGATATTAATATATTTTTGGAAATAGGAAAGCCGAACACTTTTGATTATTGATTGCATATGACTATGTTTACCTACTATTTCATAAGAACGACTATTCCTGGTGGAGAAGACTTTCCCTTTGTTAAACAAAATAAAATTATCTTTGTTGTGTGCCACCTTACAGTTTGGCAAGATGGTACTTGGCAAAGACAAAACCAAGCCAAAGGGCTGAAAACATAAGAGAAGCTGCTGGTAATTTATCAGGATTTGTTTATGATCCAAAAGGCAGTACTGGGTCAAATAATTATCATCACAGGGTACTAAAAGCCATTCAAGAGAGTTATAAATCTGATCCCGAAAGCTGAAATGGGAACACGGTGTGGTAACTTGAAAGGGAACAGAAATGGACGGCCTGAGACAAGGACTGTTCAGACGGATTTCTTTAAATCGTCTGCTTGTCTTACTATTTTATATGGGCACGTCTCACCTCAGGAAGCACTGTTTCTTTAGTATTTCATTTCTTTAAGATTTCCTTTTCTTATGATTTCTTCAAAGCCTCTAATAGGTAAAGAAGAACCTCTAAGTCCAACTAAATGTAAATACATAAATTTTTCTCTTTTCAGCTCATGTTATTTGCCTAAGAAATGTTAGACATTAGAAATTCCACTTAATACCAATGGGCGTGTCTCATTTCCACTGATTAATTTCTACACACAACATTTTTGAGCACCTGCAAAGTTCCACGAAGGGTTTTAGATTCAAAAGTTATGACAGTTAACGAAAGGGAAACAACACTTTCTCCTGGAGTAGCTAGTGGGGGAAGACAGACAATAAACAAAAGAATAAATTGTTGTGCTAGAAGTGATAAGTGGTGGGGAGAAAAATAGGGCAGGGAGGGAACTAATATTTGAGGGGGTAGAATAAAATGGAAATAGTGTGACTGAAGGTCTCACTGAGGGGGCGACACACACGTAAACATCCTGGAGAGGTGGAAGAGCTCGTCACGCAGACGTGCGGAAGGGGACCGCTCTGGGCAGAAGTAGCTACAACGCTTCCCTGAGCTGGAGGTGCTGGGGATGGCCAAGGAAACACAGGGAAGCCAGTGTGGCTGGAGTTGAGGGAGGAGGAGAAAACGGGGCTTGGAGGTAACTGGCCAGGAAGAGGGGTCATCTAGGACTTTATGAAATTTTACAACGGCTTTGGCCTTTATGTGGGATGCTTTGGCAGCCATTAGAGGGTTTCAAATACAGGCACAAGCAGATCTGACTTACATTTTACAAAAATCCCTCTGGTCAATGTGTTAAAATAGATTGAAGAAGGGGCAGTGACTGGTGATGAGGTTATTGCAAAGATCCAGCTATTACAGATGATGATGGTTTGGGCCAGGTAGATTGTGGGTGTGTTCTGAAGGATTTGCCAATAGAAGAGAAAAAATATATGTAGCAATCTTTTTTTGTTTTTTGAGACAGAGTCTCATTCTTTTGCCCGGGCTAGAGTGAGTGCCGTGGGGTCAGCCTAGCTCACAGCAACCTCAAATTCCTGGGCTCAAGCGATCCTCCTGCCTCAGCCTCCCGAGTAGCTGGGACTACAGGCATGCGCCACCATGCCCGGCTAATTTTTTCTATATATTTTTAGTTGTCCAATTAATTTCTTTCTATTTTTAGTAGAGACGGGGTCTTGCTCTTGCTCAGGCTGGTTTCGAACTCCTGAGCTTGAACAATCCGCCCGCCTCGGCCTCCCAGAGAGCTAGGATTACAGGCGTGAGCCACCGCGCCCGGCCTTGTAGCAATATTAAATACTCATATCCACGAGAAATATGGATAGGTAAATGAACTAACAAATATTCATATTGATACCGGTGAGAATCCAATTTCCAGTGTTTAAAAAACATCATAAAGAAATCTTAAATATAAAATGTTAAATAAAAAAAGTATCTCCAGATTCAGCACTGGAGTTAATTAGGTACTAGAAAATAAGAGAAGTCAATCGGAGACAGTATATGGAGGCCTCCCAAACATCTGAAATGTTTCTTTTTTAATCGGGAATGCTATGCACATGAATATTCATGTAATATTCTTATACGTATAAATATCTAAAATATTTTATGATAAATAAAAATAAAAGACACAAAAACGTCATTGGTAGTGATGATTTAAACTTTTTGTTTATATATTTTTCACTGTTACCTTGCTATGTTTCAAGGCAGCATTATAGGCTACATTATCAAACACCAAATTCCTAATTATTTAAGCACCTCTATTAGAACTTTCTAGCCTGTTACATGTATTCACCTCTATGCATTCACTAATACCACACTATTTCAATCATTGCAACCGTAAACTATTTAAAAATACGTAAGGCAACCCCCTCTCATTATTATTCTCCTTCACAATTTTCCTTGTTAGTCTGATTTCTTCATTTTTTTCATATAAACTTGAAATCAGCTTATCTACTTTAAAAAAGAATGCTTTTGGTATGATTGTTGGGATGGCCTTAAATGCACAAATTTAGATTAAACTGACATCTTTATGATATCACATATTATGCCTTCGTTTGCATGCTAATTACTTGTCTATTTCTGCCACAGCCTCTGACCCAACGCCAGCCCTCTGCAGAACGCAAGCACTGGATCTGAGTTCTATTGTTTTCCTTGTTTTCTGGGCCATTTCCAATGACTAGAACATTTTTTAGGACACAGGAGATGTTCAAAAAATATCTGTTTAATGAGAGGTTTTTATCCTCCTGGCAATCTGTGAGAAATATGCTATCATAATCCCTAACTCACAGATGAAGAAACTGAGTCTCAATGGCTTCCATGATCTTGCAAGCTTGGATGAGTCAAAGAATTCAGCCCAGGCAGTCTGGCTAAAGAGGCCACACCTTGTTCAGGAACTTCAGTAAGTGTAATATTCAGTGTGAATGCTGCAGCTATTCTATTTCCTTTCCTCAGGTTACTAGGAAATTAACAGCCAATTTTTCTTATGCGTATTAGTAATGCAGGACATTTTATGTCCTACAGATCTGTAAAAAAAATTCATTTGTCTTTGACTTACTGTTCTATCTTCATGTCCTGTTTTTTTTAATTTTAATATTTTATTTAACACAATGTATCCAAAATATTATCAATTCATCATGTAATCTATTTTTAAAAATTGGGATATTTTACATCCTTTTATTTGCACTATGTCTTCAAAATCTGGGGTGCATTTTACGCACACAGCACACCCCATCGGGACTGTCACAATT